GAGAGGTGTGCCGGTGGATGCTGATGGGGAGGGAGAGGTGTGCTGGTGGATGCTGATGGGGAGGGAGAGGTATGCTGGTGGATGCTGATGGGGAGGGAGAGGTGCTGTATAGTTGTGAGAGGCTGAATGGAGGTACATATATCAGTCTGTCTTTATCAGTGAGACCACCAGAAATTTCCAGGTTATTGCAGCATATATTCAGATTGATAAAATGCTTTTTAGCAAACTAATGTTAATATGGAAAAATACTAGAAGAATCCAGTAAAAGAACATGCTGCTACTCCCCTTTAGGAAGACTCATTCACAGGCAGGCATCTGAGCTGGAGCAATATAAAAACAGAGGGTGAAACTTGGTACCCAGGGAATGGAAGGAAATGCAGTTGTTCGTGGTGGGCACATCATAAAGATGGGCCGAGAAGCATAGGAATTCACTGTAAGCCTTGGGGCACGGTAGACCAATAGAAGGTGCTATGATAGTCATCTTTATCCAGATGTGGTCCTCACAGAGGGCAAGCCTAGAGTGCTCCCTGTGGAGGGGCAGGCATTATAAGGATAAGTAACATTTCCATGGGGGACAGAGATGACTATGATTTTCATCTGGAGTCTTACATTTTTACTCTGAATTCTGTCCCAGCAGTTACTTGCTTCTGTGACATAGTTAATGAAGCCAGCACAAGACAGCTGGTGAGTAGTGTAGGATTGCTCTGCAGGTTTTTACCTTTGCTTCAGAGACCATTACACGCTCTATGAGTTTCTACGGAAAAGCTTTTGTTTTGGAATAAGTCTAGATTTACAGCAAAGGGGTCAATGATGCTATTAACCCATTTAAATATATACAGTTGAAATCTATACTGTTAATATGTACAGAGCACCAGAAGTTTTTCAATAATTTACTGCTTTGTATTCACAGTAGTCACATTGAAAGTAAAAATAGTACTGTTATTCCAATTTCATAAACGAGATGCTCCATTAATAAGAAAAAAGACTTGTTTTTTTGCTGCTCCAACCTTAGAGATAGGCTTAGTTTTGGTATTCAAGTCTCTTTAAATGATTCTAAATACTCAACTCGATTTAAAACCTCTCATATTTAATAGTTTTGTGACATACCTTACTGGTAATTTTAGGACATGTAAAATATGGTCCCTGCCTTCTCTCATAAGTCCACAGTCCTCTAGTATTTGAGTTTCTGTGCACATACACAGGGAACAAGAAGGAAGAGAGGTTTCTGATGCCATAGGGGAACCAGTGTCACCATTGGCTTCAAGCCCCTGTGTCTTCATCTCTTTTCTTTCCCTTTGTTAGCCATAGAATTATCCACATAGAGTGACACCTATTCCCTCTATGTAAAATGTTATATAATTCTTGCTCATCTGTATGAGGATGGAAGGGCACCCACCCTGCTTTTATTGCAACTGACAGTATATGCACAAAGCCCTTCAATGTTATTGTATTGGTTTTCTTAAAAGCTCTGTGATTAAGGAGGCCTGGAATGTCTCAATCATAACTTTGGCCAGGCCCTCACAAGGGCTTCTGATCATACTACTTTTCCATGGTGTAGGCACGTGTGAATTCTTAGCATCAACACTGCTGTCTCACCTCTTTCTTCTATCTCCATTGCTATGTGCCATGCTGAGGCCTTCATTTGTCCCTGCATTTGCTGCGTGCTTTGTCGCTATAGACATCTGGAGGTAATCATGTAGCCCTCTTAATTAATTCAGTTCAATTAATAAATTACAAGGTAGATTTGGGGCTAGGAGTGGGTACAGGGCACCTTCCGGCCTCCCTGTGCTAGAGAGCTCTTGCAATCAGGCCTGGAGAGCCCTCCTCAACTAGTCTGTGAGACTCTTCCCCAGCAGGCAGGCTGCCAGGAGGAGTGATTGGCATATCCTGACAGAGAACTCAATTCTGTCTTCATACAGTGTGGATACTCTGATGGAACAGTGTCTGGGCTGGGACGATTATCCCTCATGGAGTTAAAGTAACTTTTCCACAATTTTCCAGCTTAGTTAGATGTTACTGGTCATTCCCTTGATTTGTAGGGTCACCATTGAATTGCTGGTGTTGAATATTCTTTCTCTAATACATATGTTCCAGGCGTTTTGGCAAACATTGCCTCTGTGCCCCTACCCCTTTCCACATGCGTCTTAGGGTTGGGGCTTGGGCAGAGCTGATATTGTAGAAAAGACATTTTAAAATATGTTTCATGTATCTGTTAATGAAATAAATGTTTACTGTTTCTCTAATGCCTGTTGGGTAAATCGAGGGTCAACTATGCATGCAGAGGTGTTTCTGGCCCCATCACCCACGCTAGCTCTTTGACCGACTGACTGACTTCCTTTACATATGGCCCTCCAGCCACACTGAACACAGTGTTGTCTGTTTTTCTAACTGCAGATTTCAACAATGTCTCACCCATCTTGGCTGCCACCCAAAAGCACTGGTGAGCCTCTTGGCCACGTTCCTGCACGGATGGAGACCACCCATTCTTTTGGGACCCCCAGTATTTCAGTGTCAACACAACAGCCACCCAAGAAGTTTGCTCCAGTTGTTGCTCCAAAACCCAAGTATAACCCATACAAGCAGCCTGGAGGAGAGGGTGAGTTCTGGTGACCAGAATGGGAAATCAGCATAAAAATGTGAATTGTTGTTAGAGTTTTGTTGGAATGGAGTTTCTTGTCATATTTGCCACAGTTTATGAAGTGTCTAATTTTAATGAGCTCCCCATTGTCAGTTACACCAACTACATTTTAGAAACAGAGGGATTAAATCTCACAGAGTTGGAATTGTATAGTAATAAATATCTTTGATAATACATATCTATTGCTATTTATTACTCTAAAACAGGTAAAAACGTGACCTCTCCGCCTGTGGATCAGAGCCTTTCTGTAAGCCTTATCCTCAACCTTGCTATCCTTCCTGGGGATGTATCTACCACTGCTGCCATAGACAAGTGCCTAAATGTCATCAAGCAATAGTCCAATGAGGAGACATTAGGACAAAAACCCTGTAAAGTCCCTAGGACCCTGCTGCTTCTTACTCTCTCCCTGGGAGAAGATTGACCTTGGCAGAAGTTACAGATGGTTCAAAGCGATCCTTAGTTCCAGTGGCTTTCCTGGCACTGTATTTATCTTACATCAGGTGGCTTTTGAATATCAAGATGAGATGAGCACTCAGTGTGTAGTTATACTGTGACTCTCTCATTAATGAAGTTGACCAGTACAGTCTTTGTGGTAGAAAGACTTCATATTTATACCCACAGTTGTCACAAGCTCCTTCACACCCATGAAGCAGTAACCTAATACCTATATCTAGAATAGTGTGAGACTTCTAGAAGCTGAGAACAGAAGATGTACACTACTGAGATTCCGTCTCTCTTTCTCGATTTTGCGCCCCATCTATCTTTTGAAAAATGACTGTTCTATTTCTACAGTTGTATTTATTGTGTTCTTAGATACATCTTTTGTATCAACAGCTTTTGTAACAACATTGTGGGGATTATTTCATGCCATGTGATGTTGCTTCTTTTCTCTGGTTTCTTCTGAGTCTTTGCCACCTTTAAGAACCACATCATTAATCTACCAGTTTACCTACTCCTTTGGCCTCCTGGTGTTTTAGGACTCCTTTCAGAAACAAGGTACACATGTCAGGCTTGTGTAAACAAACTGCAGGCTAAGAGGTTATGAGAAGAAAGACCAGGCCTTTCTCTATACTGGGTGTTGTGGATCATTATGAATCTCTGTGTGTCCCTCCCCTAGAAATAGCTTTGCCAAGGCATGAACATGCCTTTTTGGAAAATGTCCATGCTGTCCATGAACTCCCTGACCCCTCCCTGGGCTGGAAGCCTCATCGCCCTTGTAGGATACTGAACTTTTGCAGTTGGCTAAGGTCTTTGTGAAGCTGGTTTGCACTGGCTTATTATTCCCTAGGGATTGTAATGTTCATCTTTGCTGAAGAGTAGGGAGAGCCAAATGTTGGCTTCGTGGTTTGTTTTCTTACCTTGGTTTGTTTTCTTACCTTGGTTTGTTTTCTTAGCATTTACTTTTGCGTTATTTAGAAGGTACCTTTAGTTCTTCTTCTATTTGGGAAATTCAAATAGACTCCCTGCAAATGCAAAGAAAACAGACAAAGTATCAACACAGAATAGGGTCTCCAGGAGGACACTTGTAGTGGGTATGGGAGTTAATTATATGCCCAGAAGTTAGATTATGGCTAGACTCTACATGAAAACACATGGGACATCAGGGAAGAGCCACATACAATGATGTCTGTTTCAGTTCTTCACGCTGAATGCCATGAGTCTTAGTGAGACAAGCCCCTGGTTGTCCTCTTGCTTGCTATGCTCCTAGCTCGTGATGGCCCAGCCTCTACACTCTATATGGCAAGCCCATTGAATTGCTTTCATTACAGCTCACAGCTTCTTGTCCCTTGCCACCGTATTGCATTTATTGCCTGCTAGGACCTCATTTGTAGCACGTTCCCCACAATGTTTGGTGCAACCTGAACAAGATGCTGTCACTTCCTTCTCGACAAGCAGGATATTGTCTTACTGCAGCCTGGCTACACTTCTCACTAATGCTCCACTTGTTTTCTGCACTTACTGAGCATGCAGTGTATATGAAACACTTCATTCCTCCTTCTGCACTTAATCCTCCACGTACTAAGCATGCAGTGTGTACCACACACTGCATTTCTCCTCCTGTACTTACTGAGCATGCAGTGTACACTGCACACTGCATTCCTCCTCCTGCACTTACTGAGCATGCAGTGTATGCTGCACACTGCATTCCTCCTCCTGCACTTACTGAGCATGCAGTGTATGCTGCACACTCCATCTCTCTGCTGTATTTAGGTACTTGTTCATAGACCCCTGTAAACTAGCTTGTACCCACATCCACAAAGACATTGAAACTTTGAGAAGGGAGATGACCCTCACTATATTTTCTCAGTAGGAATTTCATATGCCAAGGCTGCTGTACATAGGCAATATTTACCTTCAATCTGTATAGTCCTGTTACAGTTTTTCTCCTTTATCCATTCTATGAGCTTTTCATTTGAGTGGTTGTCTAAACACTGCCGCCTTCAAGTAGTGATTACATTTCTCCATTACTATTATGCCTGTGATCACTGGGGTTCGCTTTCTTAGTTTTTCCTTCTGACTGTGAAAGTAGAAAGGACTCACATGTTTTCCACATCAACTTATATTTATGTGTTACTCATATGTTATAATTTTCTTGTATAGAACACCGTGCTAATAACTTCTATGTAAAGGGTTTTGACACATAGTGGGTGTGTTTTTTCCCAGTCAATAGTTCTTTAGGCCTTAGCCCCTTGATTTTCATAAAATTTTAAAGAATTTGTATTTCCCCAATGTTTTGAATACCCCTACATTTCTACATACCCTCTGTGTTCAACACTGAATGTTGAGCTGTGTTGTTTGTTTGTGTGCTTCTTGTTGTATGTTACAGAATGCATATTTTAAAATATAATAATGTATTTATATATAGATTATAGATAGTAAACTTCTTTGATATCTATTATGTTTTTTTTCTCCAAGGGAAATGATTTAACACAATTTTCTTCTGCTTCTTAAAGTGCTACCTTCCAGTGTTGTTTATTTTGTATTCTGGCCTCTGACTTCAGAACAACCAGGAAAATAGTAAGGCAGAACCAGTGCCATGAACCTTAAACTTTGATGGTACAGCAGACTGAATTTCTTTTTCTACTCTTTATAGAAATGGTTTTGAGGTTATTGTGTTTGTCTGCCTGCCTGCCCATCTGCCTATTTCTGTTTCTCCATAGTTTGAAAAGAAAAGTTTGTGTAGTTGGGATAGTCTTATGGTATAGAATTATCGTTCTGTAATCTCTAAGATTCCATCCACAAAGCATTTTTACATTTACAAGTACAGGTAAATGTGATGGAGGACAGTCAGTCAGGCTGTAGAGTGTAGGTGATGGAGGA